TATATATGTAAATTAATTGGTGGAGTGAGAGGAAAACAGTTGACATTGCTGAGGAATTTCTTCCTAACATTTAAGAATGAGCTGCTCAGAATTTGGGTATCAGAAAAAAATTCTTGCAAAAATTTTTAGAATAATTATATATGTTGTTGTAAAATATAAAAAGTGTCATGCATTTTGGTGACACAATGGTTAAAGTGCTCAGCTGCTAACCAGAAGGTGAATGGTTCAAACACACCAGCCACTCTGTGGGAGAAGAGACCCAGAGGTCTGCTCCTGTGAAAGTTACAGCCTGGGAAACCTCATGTGGAAGAATTGACTCAATGGCACACAACAGCGACAACATGTCCAAAAAATAGGCTTTATAAGACATGCTATATTCTAAAATTAGAGTGAGTCAAAGAAAAAAAGGTTTTTATGAGGCTCTTATAATAATTGAATTTGTGCATCTTGTCTCTTATGGAAAGGAAGACAAATTGTGAAATATGTTAGCACCTATAATTATTAAGAAAGTATAAATGAATCCCTACTGTGTGCTTACCATTCAGTTTCTGTGGGGAATTAAAGGGTTTTCAGTCTGGTGGGGAGATAACTAATCTGTGAAACAAGGAATAGAGGAAAAGTAAACAATTACATGTTAGCTTATGATGAAGACAGCGTGCTGCTTGCATTGAATTTATAGCAGCTTAATTTGTCAATAAGATCTTGATAGACTGGACAAGGAAAGCTATGAACAAATGTGTTGGACTCGAAATGAAAAAGAAAAATGCATTCCATGAGCACTATAATGTGGCGTCAGCCAGCATGGAGGTAAGGCTGAGTGTGATGGTCTTCCGTGTCAGAGGAAACAAGTTAAGTGGGCAAAGTCAGTGAATATCTTGAAGAAATGAGCAACTGAATTTGATACTAGCTCTGCCACTAACTAGCTGGTCACCTAAAAGTCATTTCACACTATCTTCCCCTAAAGTGTATGCTAAGGAGCCTTGATGGTGCAGTGGTTAAAACACTTAGCTGCTGAAAGATTGTTAGAACCCGTCAACTGTTCTGCAGAAGAAAAATGACACAGTCTGCTTTCATAAAGGTTTACAGCCTCAGAAGGCCTATGGGGCATTTCTACTCTGTCCTGCAGAGTTGCTGAGAGTCAGAATCAACTAGATGGCAGTGAGTTAAAGTCCACACTGGATTATTCTCAGATGGCTCTAATTGCAGCTTTTGTGGTTATCTTTCTTCTCGCTTATCTTTTTATCAAGTGACCGGGATGGCTGTCTTCAACTTCAGACTCAGCACTCTGTTTTTCCACAATTTAAGCTTGTGGCTTACTTTATTAGAAAAGATTGAGCCTCACAGTGTCAGTGTAAACCGTCCAAACTTCCTGCCTCTTCACTTCTCTATTTTCCTTCTTTGCTCATCTTGACTTCATTCCTTCCTTTTATTAGAGGTAGAAGTATTTCTCCTTTCCAAGGTGAACTCTTTCACATTCTTTCTAAAGACAACTTTGATCCTTCCTGCCAGAAGTTTCTTCATCCTCGAAATATTCAGAGCATATTTATACCTTTCTTAGGTCAATGTCATAATCTACTTTCATCAAAAACTACACTCATTGCCATCTAGTCAATTCTGACTAATAGTGACCCCATTGGGTTTCCAAGGCTGTAAATCTTTACGGAAGCAGACCACCCCACCTTTCTTTCACAGAGTGGCTGGCGGGTTTGAACCACCGACCTTTTGGTTTTCAGCCAGATGCCTTAACCACTACACCATCAGAGCTCCTTCATAATCTACTAAGTATTGTAATTATTTGTGAAAATATTTCACTCACTGGACTGTAAGTATTTTGAGAGACTGTCTTATGTTTATCATTAGGAGTTTATACGGCAGTCACACACTCAGTGCCTGTATTGGTAGGGTGGGATTGTATCATGGAGAACTTTAAAAGCTAGCAAAGAGTGTTTACATATGGAACAGTAGGTGGGTTTTTGTTTTTCTTTATTTTTTTTCTCAAGGGAATAAAAGATAGAAATCTGGATTTACCCCAAATCATTGTGTAGTGGGGTTGAGTGTTGAAACCTAGAGTCTGCAAGACCACCAGTCTCTATCATAATTTTGATTTGAGGTGATGAGAACAGGATTGGAGAAGAGACGAATATATAAAATATATTTTAAGAGAACAAATAGAATTTGAGGACTGATTTAAAGGAGATGGAACTGATTTTAGAAAACATTTTCATTTGATGAAATAAGTATATACACTCCTTTCCATAAAATATAATTTTACAGAATGGAATCTAGGTCTTCAATGTTCCTCAATTTTCACTTTATCATAAATTTCCAGTAAACATCAAATATGTGTTATGTACTTGGCTCTGTACTAGAGTTCTTGTGCTAGAGAATTCAATCCAAACTCCAAACCACTGTTGTCAAGTTGATTCCAACTCGTAGGACAGAGTAGAACTGCCTCATAGGGTTTCTGAGGCTGTAAATCTTTATGGAAGCAAACTGCTACATCTTTCTCTTGTGGAGTGACTGGTGGGTTCGAACTGCCAACATTTTGGTTAGCAGCAGAACTCACTAGGGTGTAAAAAAAGATACAGACATGAAAATAAACATTTATAATACAGTGTGACCCTTTGATGATAAAGGCATTGGTACTGTGCCATTGGTGCACTCCATGCCAGCTATAGAAAATGGGGATGGAGCTGTGTCACAAAATATAAAACTAAAGCAATTCAAATGCTGGGAAACTATAATTGGAAATTCTAGAATAAAATTTTTGGATGTTTTAATTTTCCTCCTGGTCTTTTCATTGTTAGGATGTCAGATGTTTCCAGCTATAAAACAGATGGACTTAGAAGACAGGAGTCAGTGAGATAGCTATCACAATTTAATTGCAAGAGTTTTGTCTTAAGTGCCCAAGTCAAAACATAAGATATAGTGAACATCTGTAGACTTAATCAAATATAATGTGCACAGAATTACTATGAGTTCATTAGTACTATAAGATCACTCTGCAGTGAAACTTAAATTGATAATATTGACAAACTGCTCTACAGATGTTGTAAGACTGGTTTGCTTGAGGATTAAAGGCTAGAATTAAAAAAGTATCTATATGGAAGAAGAGGACCATTTTAGGCAGGAATTGTAAAAATTAGCTATTTGTGAATCATACATCTAAAATTTCTCATTCTGAATCGACTCAATGTCAGTACGTGTTCATATAGTAAGGAAAATTTATCCTTAGCAAGTCTACCAAGTAGATATCATTTTTAGTTTTTGGACCAGTACTGGACTAATCCAAGAACTACCAGAATGAGACAAAATTTTTTTAGGTTTGCTTATTTTCAAGTGAGATTTAGCTTACAAATGTTACCCTTTGATTACATTGTCTGAATGGCATGCTAAAAGATTTTTAAAGGAAAAGCATTTCTGAACTTTCAAAGGTTGTTTGCAGATTTTAAATCTAGGTCTACAGATCATTTCCAACTGATAAAAACATATATTGTCTAAAATGCTGTTAAAAAAGATGTGTAACCATATAATGCCAACTGGTCACAACAGTATAAACCATACCTATAATATAAGATATTCCTTAAAAAATAAAGGATGGTGGAAAGATACGGTTTCTTTTGCTTAATTAAAATGACTTTAGAATGATAGATCTTAACTAAAAAAACTTAAGAAAAATATAGACAAGTTTCACTAAGAAATTTTTCATTTCCTGTAATGCTATGCAGTGATAACTCACTGATAGATTGGTGTGTTTTCTTTCCATTGCTTTGCATGTGTATATGTTTTTTACATTATTGAGATCATAAAAATACACCTTTTGATCTTGCTTTTTTGCTTAACATCATAACTTAAAGTTTTTCACAACATAATTTTAATAGGTATAAAATATTGCAGATGTAGATAGACCATAGAATAAAAATCACTTATTGAACCCTTGTTCTGTATCAGTCACTATGCTAAGTATCTTACATCATATGTAACCCTCAGAGCAACCTTGTCACTTATGTGGTATTATTATTCCCATTTTATGGATGAGGACTGGATTCAGAGAGGTAACATCACTTGTCCATGGTCACATAGATAATGTAAAATCCTTAGAGTTTTCTATTTACTGTAATGCCTCCTATTTAAATAATTATTTTTGAGTTGTTCTAAGTTGATCATACAGATATAAATGGGATAATTACAGTTTTGAAATATATACTACTTTGATACAATTAGGCCTTCTCTAATGGTTAATTTGTTAAAGTATGCCAATACTTTCTAATAATTCATTTTTAACATTGACTCATAGCTATGTATTTCATTATTCCTCTAAGACAAGTGAGCACAAAAGGGATTTCAATTTGATCCTAATTGATCAAATGCAGTCTGTGGTTTCTTGGTACTAGAAGTTATGAATCTTGCTGAAAGTGAACTTCAGAGTAATTCGTAAATATCTTATTGATCACCTGTGACAGTGAGAGGCTTGTCAGATTTTAAAAAGTAAATTCCCTTTTTTGTGTTCACAGGAAACCTGTCCAGTTTAAGTCGTCTTGGTCTGAGATATAACCGACTATCAGCAATACCCAGATCATTGGCAAAATGTAGTGCACTTGAAGAGTTAAATTTAGAGAACAATAACATTTCTACTTTACCAGAGGTAAGAAGTGGATTAGGGAAAATTCTAGAAACAAGTCTACTTCATAATGAAGAGAAAACTGCTAACTTGTTGCATGTGAGTAAATATAATTTGGTGATTGGGATTATTTATATAATGAGCATGTGTGGATAAATAGCCACCAATAATATAAATATTCCAAAGGAGAAAGAAAAATTCCACAGTTCCTATGATTATAGGAACATCATAATTTTTCTTTAATGAGAAGAAACGAAGGAAGAAAATCAGTGTACCTTTTGCCATCAGATTGACTCTAATTCATGGCAACCCCGTGTGAGTCAACTTGGAACTGTGTTTCATCGGGTTTTCAGTGGCTGGGTTTGTAGAAGAGGATTGCCAGACCTTTCTTCCAAGGTGCCTTTGGGTGGATTTGAACCTCCAGCTTTTCAGTTAGCAGCTTAACTCCTCAACTGTATCACTGCCCAGGGATTCCACATTCCCTTTTAGTACCATGTAAATCTTTCTCATGTCATTTTGGGAACTGGCAATAAAAGTTGTTAAGGAAAAGTTGTATATCTGGTTTTAAAGCTAAACTACCCTCCCAGTTGTAAAAAGGTAATGTATTAAGATGATAAATGTAAAAGAGTAAACGAGATGGAACACACTATTTATTATCAAGATTAGTATTAACTGTAACCCTCATGTGACCAAATTATTACCCTGGTTAAAGTATCTGACTGCTAACCAGAGGTTGGTGGTTCAAACCCATCAGCTGCTTTGCGGAAGGAAGACTCGGCAATCTATGTCCATAAAGATTTACTGCCTCGGAAACATGAAGGGGATCGCTATGAGTCAGAATTCACTCGATGGCAGTGAGTTTGTTTTTTTGTTTTATTTAGTATATACAGATCACCAAATTTGTTAGTAATTTTTAAGACCTTTTTATTTTGGGTTTTGTTGGTCTTATTAGAAAACACTGTCACTTATTTTGCATAGAGATTAATTGCATAAGATATAATTTTATTTTTTTAAAATCAAGTCTTTTCAACATTGTTTATTATTTTTTTTCCCTGTCTTTCCTTCTTTAATTACCTACTATTTAAACATAGCAAACAATTTGTGGTATGTTTGTTTATAGTTGTTCAAACACAATACCTTGCTGTAGTATTCTAACAAAAATAATGGAAGTGTGGACTTATGGACTGATTGAACTTCGTATGTATGTGACACTGAAGGTTCTTTGGATGAATGCTTTTGAGATTTATGCATTGATTTTTGAAGAGCCAGTTAGGGAGATGAAGCTACAGGTTTATAGCAGTTGATTTATAAGATAAATATATTCATTTGTTTCTTAAAGATACAGATTTCAGAAAACACCTTGATCAGAGAACAAAGATGAGTTTCCCAGGATTGTAATTTCTAGGCTGGACCAGTTCACTAAGACAACTCTGACAATATCTCACCTGTGGGAAAAAGCACTATTGTTGCACTAACAATAGTGGGATAAAGAGTAGAATCCACAGATTGAGATACAGCCCAGAGAACTTGACTGTCTAGATTTTTCTCTTTCTGTGATAGTGATAATTTAAAATGATCAAAATGGGTGGGGCTTTATTTAATGCCATTCCTTTTTCTAAGTCACTCATATCAAACAATTAGCACATTAATTAGACCCTTTTGATATTCTTGTTGGTTGTGATTTAAGTAAGGTTAAGTAATGGTGACCACTTTTACAGTATCAATATGCTTAAGACTGAGCCATATTAAAGTTCAAAAAGTAGAAAAAAAGTAAAATTTATGTGTATCTGATCTTATTGTCAATGAAGAGAAGCTAATAATTAGTGGGTGCTTGTTAGAATACAGACATTGTGCTAAGTACTTTTGTATACAACATTTGATCATTGAAATAAATCAGTATTTACTATTGACAAAGAGAATTATAAAGAAAACAGCTCTCTTGAGTTTGGATATAGAAAAAAGCATATATGTGTGTGTATTTGTGTCCCGTTTTCAGAAGAGAAGCTATGAAGAAAACCCTTAATTGGCCTTTTTGAATTATGGCAAAGCATTCTTATTTAAAAGTAATCAGTATGTGTTAGAAGAAGCATATTCTTAGTGCAAATATGTAATGATCTGGATTTATAATAAGCACAATAAGGAAAACAACAAAATCCATTGGACAGCACTTATGAGACATTCAAGCTGGGTTAGGCAGTAAAAGTAGGGAAGTAGTTTTCAACTAGACTGAGACTCATACTGCTGAAACCAGAGCTGACAAAATGACTATGTATTTTTCCATTTGAAGACTATTGAAAATGCACTAGTTTTAATGTAGACATATATACACAAATAAAAGGAACTTAATAAACTTAAACACATGCTGTGCTCAAGGCATAAGGCTAGGAGCTCTACATATAGTATTTCATACCATTTTTAGTTTTCACATTAAAGGCACTTAAAAAAAAAAACAAAACACTGCCATCAAGTCAATTCTAACTCATAGCAGCCCTTTAGGACAGAGTAGAACTGCCTCATAGGGTTTCCAAAGCTGCATATCTACAGAAGCAGACTGCCTTATCTGCGAGTGGGTTCAAAGTGGAGTGGCTGTTGGGTTTGATCCACTGACCTTTTTCTTAGCAGCCCAATACTTTAACCACTATGCTACCAAAACACCTTATAAGCTCACTTAGTTACTAGGAATTTTAACTAATTAATGGAAATAAGGAAATAGGCTTAAGAGAGGTTTTGTTTTGACCAAATTTATTACCTTAAATATTATTCTGGGAATATGATAAGAATAAACTAATTCTCTAATTAATTCACCAAAGGTCATAAAACTGGTAAGTTGAAGAGCTGAGCTAGGAACCCAGATGTGTCTGACTCTGAAGCAATAATAAGCAACCCTCAAGCTTCACAATATGACCTAAGAATGAAAGACTGGAGAGTTCTCATGTTGCACCTTTTCAGATATACCTAGACGTTGAAATTTTTCGTAGAAGAATGTCAATTCAGTAAAGTCACTTGTAATCATAATAGCAGTTTTCACATAAGACTTGATAAGTCTCCTTTATTTTCAATAAAGTAGGCTGTAGACATTATTTTTATTAAAGAACAGAAATCCATGATTTAACAGTTCTGGAAGCTGAATGTCCAAACCAGACTCTCAGCCATGTCAGTTCTTTCCTCGCCAGTTGCCCTGGGTGTTCCTCGACTCTCTTGGTGTTCCTTGGCTTATAAACGATTGTGTAGACATTATTTTGTCCTGCATTGTCTGCCATGCAGTTTTCTTACTACGGCTCACACTTGTGCTCTTCCTTTTGTCTGTGTACGACAGTAGGCAGATATTAAGAGTAGCTTCTTAATGTTCAGTGGAAGGAACAAGTTTCAGTTCTCTGTATAATTACACCTTCTATTATATAGTCATTTCATCCCTTGAACTGGCCTTGCAACTCATATACGTCAGGCACTGCGTCTAGAATTTGCTCTTGGAAGGTGGCTAAAGTTTGAACATTATTTAAAATATGCACACACCTCCCACTGTGTGGTTTTCTCCTTCCTTGTGCTTTTACTCCAGTCTGGGATGTTTTCTTCTACTTCTGTACATATTTCATCTTTTCTTATCCTTCAGGATCTGGCTCACTCTCAACCTCTTTCCTGTTTTTCCAGTTATTCCACTATTTCTTCTTTTCCTTGTATTTAAATAGAAAAGAGATTTAAAGTTTAACCACTTACTATATCCCAAGTATTGTAAACCCATTTATGTATTTTGTCTGTTTTAGTCTTCCCTGTTGTTGTAGGTCCTTTGTGTGCCTGGGAGTCTTTTCCAACTCATAGCAACCCTATAGATAGGGTCAAGCTGCCCTGTACGGTTTCCTAGGCTGGGATCTTTATGGGAGCAGGTCTCCAGGTCTTCGCTCCCTTGGAGTGGCTGGTAGCTTCTAATGCCAACCTTGCAGTTAACAACCAGGCTCTTAACCATTGCAACCAAGTGCTCCTTCTTAGTCTTTCCTACAACCTAGAAAATAAAGCACATCCTTTTACAAATGAATAGAAATCTCAGAGAAATACCTTGCCTGAAGTCACAGAGGGAGCTCTGATGGCACAGTAACTAAGGCATTTGACTGCTGACCAGGAGGCTGGTGGTTCAAACCCACCAGTTACTCCTCAGAAGGAAGACTGGGCAAACTACTTCCCTAGTGATGTTGTTGTTGTTTGCCGTCGAGTCGGCCCCGACTCATAGCGACCCCTCCTTGGGTTTCCGAGGCAGTATCTCTATGGAAGTAGGATTGCCCAACCTTCCTTCCGAGGAGTGGCTGGTGGGTTTGAACCACCAGCCTTCTGGTGAGCAATCAAGTGCCTTAGGCACTATGCTACCAGAGCTCCCTAGTGATATCTCTTGGGAAACCCAAAGAGAGGCCGCTATGAGTTGGATCTGACTTGAAGGCAATGAGCTGAGTTTTTAACATCACAGCCAGGATTCAAAATTACTTTATAATCTATACTAGCATTTCTCAAATTTTGATGTACTTACAAATCACCTGGAATCTTGGTAAAATGCAAATTTTGATTGTAGGAGTCTGTTCCAAGAGTCTCCATGTCTATATAGCTCTCGAGGGATGATGATGCTGCCTTTCTTCCTAGAATGCCCTTTCAATAGGAAGAGCCTATTCTGTAATTTATTACTGATTATATGTGATTATGTATTTTCTAATTGTTTCCTACCTTTGTGCTTTATTTCTCTTTATAGGGTTTAATCCTCTTAGTGTCAGAATTCTTTTATAATACCTAAATATCTAGCACTGGGGTTGAATGGTAGGAGGCTGAAGTGGATGGGGGCAATGAGGGTATTGCTGAGCAAATACTTGATTGATATATATATATATATATATATATGTTTCCTCAGATATATTACCACATAGCAAAACAATATATTGTACAATATCAGGAAATATAATCCTCTTCTGAATTTAATCTTCCTAAAAGGAACCATTAAATTATTGAATAACAACATAGTGCCTACAGCATTTGACTGCCAACCAGAAGGCTGACGGTTCAAACCCACCAGTCACTCTGTGGAGGGAATGTTGGGCAATCTATTTCTGTAGTGACACTGCCTCGGAAACCCAAGGAGGGGTCTCTATGAGTGGGATCCAACTCTATGGCAGTGAGTTTTGGTTTTTTGGAGGCATTATTTTAATCTTAAGAATAATTTAGAGGTAGACTTAACTAAGACCTAGATAGATTGGTCATACAAGTGACAGAGCTAGGGCACAGACCCAGTACTTGTTTGACACCAAAGTTTTTGCTCTGTAGAGGTCTTTGGAAACATTTGTCACCCACATACATGTTTTCTTTACTCCATAGTGTGTTTTAAGTAAAACGAAACTAAAGAGTAAAAATCAGGATATTTCATATAAATAAATACATTTCCAGTTTCTTGCAAAATCTGGACATCTGACTACATTGCGTTCACATTTCTGCATGACAGCAGTTAGTTAGAGCTGAGTAGTGATTGTCCCTTTAAATGATGGGTCTCAGAACTTGCTTGACCAGTCTCAGCCATTTATTACTTCTGAGGCATTTGCGTTTGGGACTGTTTCTCTATACTTTACAGACTATAAAGCCTTGTTACAGTTCTAATTCTCATGTATATTTCATTTTTTACAGACTCTTTTATCAAGTCTTGTGAAACTGAATAGTTTGACCCTAGCTAGAAATTGCTTTCAGTTATATCCAATGGGTGGTCCATCTCAGTTTTCCACCATCTATTCCCTCAACATGGAACACAATCGAATCAATAAAATCCCATTTGGAATTTTCTCCAGAGCAAAAGTATTAAGTAAACTAAATATGAAGGTAAGCTTGTGTTTTTATTGGGGAAAGGGGGCACGATTGCTAGTACTACTCCTACTATTTATTTATGTTTTATTTAATGGTGTGGGGAAAGGTACTCATACTTTGCTGATAGAGTCTCAACTTATATCTTCCATGGGATACTGTGAAGCCATTAGAAATGATAATCTAGAAGAAGATGAAATACCAGTTGAGTTATTCACAATTTATTAAATAGAAAAAAGTTAAAGCATGTAAGAATCTCTTCCCACACATACTTTTAAAAAGCTCTTTTTAATATGTTTAATTATATATTAAATACACCTACTCTTCATTTATTGTCTTTTGTTTTGCATTTATGACAGTAGTAAAAAACTCTATCCAACTATCTTGCACATTAATGGCATATGTCTGGCCAAAATGAACGCAGAGGTGCCAGGTGAGAGTAACGCTAGCTGAAGTGATTCTCAGTGGCTTGGCAGTTATGCAGTGATGTAATTTGGCAGTTATGTAATGACATAGTCATCCTTTGTTTTGTGATCTTAGGTGGTCATCCTCCAATTTCACATAACAACCTGGTCTTTGGAACCCAACCATGTTCATACGTGTGGAGGAGTATACACACACAGATCTGATGTTTACTAAAATACTGTGTTTATCTTTGGATATCAAAATGATTTATGGGTGATTATTAATTTCTTTTTGCTTATCTATAAAACCCATTCACATTTTTAATGGGAAAGACAAATTTTTATTGCAAAAGAAAAAAATACATGACAAATCATCTAGTCTAGTGTATTAATTTATAGTGAACAGACTTTAGGCCCATAGAAGATAACTGAATTGACTGTATAGCTATAGAGCTCTGGTGGTGTAGTGCCTAAGGCACCTGACTGCTAACCAGAAGGCTGGCGGTTCAAACCCACCAGCCATTCCTCAGAAGGAAGATGGGGCAATCTACTTCCATAGTGATATTGCCTCAGAAACCCAAGGAGGGGTTGCTATGAGTCGGGTCTGACTCGACGGCACATAACAACAACAACAATTCATGGCTGAGGTAGGACTCCAGAAAACATAGATATAGTGTTATTTCAGCCATATCACATGACAGCCTTTTACCTTTGATTAGTCATTTCACCATAATTTTGGTTCTTTAAACTGCAGTCTAAATTTATGATTTCTTAATTCTGTCTATACTTGTTCATACATGTAGTATTGTGTATCTTTTATCATGATTCTTTGGAAGTATATGATAAGTGAACTAGTTGAAATTCAAGATAATCATATATTCTTAAACAAGTGTAAAATATATTGTTAATCAGCCTGGTTGTATGAGATTTCGTAGTGGTAATGGCTTTAATTCTGAATATTCAGTTTGTATTGAGAAGATGAGAACACAGTGGTCCATGTGTCCATTAGCTTTTGCATTTGATTATACATTTTTGTAGATATGATGCTATTATGATATGTTAATTTGGAAAGATTTACTGTTTTACAAGTGAATGATGTGGAGGCAAGGAAGAAAGGTAATAGATCATTGCTATATACACCTACTTTTCACTTATCGACATGGTTAGGTTCCAATGACCAGGTTGTTATGCAAACAGTGGAGAATGATCAGAGCAGAGCACAAAATGGGAGGTGACTACATCATTACATAACTGCCAAACCACTGAGAATCATGGCTTAACCAAGTTGATACATAACCCTCACTATCATAGCCAGCATTACTCTCACCTCACATCTTGGTGTTCGTTACTGCCAAATATATGTTGTTAATACACAAGGTAGCTGAATAGGAGATTTTTTACTGTTGTTGTAAATGTGAAATGTTGGATAATGAGATAGTTCATAAGTGAAGAGTAGGTTTGATGGAGTTCACATTGTCCCCCTCTGAGTATAATTTATCTATTTTTCAACAAAATTAGTATCATTCTTCATTTAACTGTTTTATCATGCTTTTATTATTTAATCATGATATGTTTTTACCATTGTTTCCTTAGGAATTTTAAGTGAAATTATAAAAATTATTGG